ATATATATATATATATATATATATATATATATATAGATTATTGCTATTCTGAAATAAGTTCTTAGTTATTTTTCCTAAAACATAGAACAGTAAATAAAGAAGTAAAGCAAACAATTATTTCTTCTAGTTAGGACCTTTGTACTCAGTTGCTGCTTGACGTAGGTTGCCAAGTCTAAAAACTTTGCACATGGAGGATATGAAACAAAATATATTTCTTAGGTTTTATATATACTTTTGAATAATAAAAAATCATAAATTACTACATCAATACCATAGAATTTTACTATAATTTCTCAAACTTACTAACTAAGCTATATTTGGGTCTAAAACAAATATGAAATTTTGAGCAGACTAAAGACACAACCTACCTCATTGAAATCTTGGTTCAAAAGAAAGATATGGCTGAGAAAGCCACTCAGGGGGACATTCTGGGCTTCCGATTGGTTATTCATGTCATATATAGAAGTAAGTGTATATAAGGGAGCATTTCCAAAAATGGAAAGAGGTGAGTGGGATGCCAATGTGTTTGATTTCTTACATGAGCAATATCTTAACAAATACAAAACACCTTGTTTTATATTCTAGCATGTCAATATGTAATTTGAGTTTCTAATTTGTAAGAAACTATAGATTTGGTATTTTGACTTCACAAACATATAATTTGAACCAATGCTGCATTCAACCTACCACGTGACACACAAAAATCGATGTTTATCTGTGTTTTTTTAATATTTACTTTTAAAATAACAGATTGAGTAATGTATAGTTCTAAAATTTGAATTATAATCTACAGATTGATACAAAATTTATTGACATAAATTCATGAAATAGTAGTTCAACAAAATTTTGAATGTGAGTCGACAAACGAGATGACACGGCCTTTCACCTGTGACCCGTCTCGAAAGGGTTAACTCTTTCCATATGGGCTACATGCACTGAATCTAATTCATAACCATAAGATTAATTATACTATAACTTATGATAATTTTTGCATATCTTCACAAAATTTGCACATTATCAGTAAGCAGTATTTGTACACAAAAAATCAGGTTTTTTTTAAATAAGTATTTCTACTAAAACTTTCTTCATGAATAAATGGAGACAAACTCACTCAAAGTATTGATTGCTCTGAATGCAAAGTGATTTCGATGTTAAAATAAAAAATACTTTTCTTCTTTTGAAAATGTTTAAAATTTCCTTTGCATAATTTGTAAAACCTCCTAAAATAAATATCAAATATGTTTTGTTTTTCCAAAAATACTGTATTGTATCCATTATTTTCTCTACCTTAACTCAGTACGGGGTCAGTTGGTTTGACCGACCTTGTAACCACCATAAAATACTAGAAAGTAAATCTAAGTTACACTTTTTTTTTTCTATAATCACTTCAGATTATAACAGGAAACCACATTTCTTTGTCCTAAATAGCTTAAAGCTCATAACAGTGTGTGTATATACTTAATTATATTGTTTTATTGATCTTTTAATCGTGTGTGATTAATAAGTTGTAAATCACTTGGCAAAACATGCTGCTCATGTTATCATATCAAATTATGTAATATGCGAGCTGTTCATGAGCATGCCTTGAGAATAATTTTTGTTTTTTCATTAACATAACCTAATAAGTTTCTAATTTTTAGATTTTAGTTACTTTTATAATAATAAAGGCTACATATCAAACAATATATATATATAGCACTTGGATTTTTTTTTCTTATGCTGTGGAGTATTCATGGAACTGAAGCCTACTTTTTATACTAATGGTACTAATAAATTAAATAATGCACTTAAGAACACAGAATACTAACACGTAAAAAGCAGATATTTTCCTATAACTATCATAATTTTTCTGGCTTTCTAAATATGTGATAAGAGCCTTTAAAAACTCGGCTAAGCTCTTCAGTGTGTTTCCTGTAGGAATAAAGTTTCAAACTGGAAGTGAAATAGATAATTCTCTGTGCAAAAAACAATGTAATATAATATGTCATTTGATAGATTGAAACTTTGGCTTTCTATTAAACATATAGTATTAAACATCGGAGAGAACTTTGGGCAATTTCTGAAAGAGAGGATGTGACAGGTGGGCATGGCAAATGGGTCTGATATTCCAGTTTATGGCTCCATAAACAAAAAAGATTGAAAGCTATAAAAATTATACTTTACCTGAATAATGAATATATTATAATGAGTAATTTACATTAACTTACATACTTCACTGAGGGATAGCAAATAAATTAGAGAAGAAGAAAGGCCTAGAGAGGAAATGTCACAATTCTCATACTAGAGGAGATTGATGATTTTTTAAACGTTTCCTTTTAAAATTAAGAACTTAAAACTTGTATGATATTAAAAGTTTATTAACTTTTTTATGCCAAGTGTATTTGTGTACATTGATAATAAAATGGTTTAATTAAATTTTGAATGTATCTTTAAAAATATTTTGACATGTGCAAAAAAGAGTACCCATAGGGAAAGAGTTAAGAAATAGATAATGAGAAACTAACATCTTGAAAAAGTACCAATGTTTTCAATGTATATTAATCAGTTTCTGGTCTGTTATTTCCTTTAAGATGTCTAGGAAATCATAAAACCTTTCTTGTACAGTGTAATAATCAAAATTAAAAGATAATGCAAGCTTATACATTATTGGATAATTTCAGAATTATAAATTATGAATCAAATTATAAATTGGTTTACTCTTTATTTGGAGTTGTATACATTTTGCATTTCTCAGCTCATTGGCTCAACAAGTGTTGCATAGGTAGCTTCAGTATTTTAAAGTATTTATTCACAAGTTATTAACTTTTAGAAAAATAAAAGGTAATAAGAGTTCTTAACATAGTATGGAAAAACTGTAGGTTGCATTAGCATGCCAATATCGGATTGCTGTGAAGGACAAAAAGACAACGCTTGGACTACCAGAAGTGATGCTTGGTCTGCTCCCAGGGGCTGGGGGGACACAGAGACTCCCAAAACTTGTAAGTTTTTGTTCTGTGTTTTATCAATCTGGACATGTTGTTTTTTATTTTGTGATAGTAAAAAACACATAGGATAAAAAGTGAAACACATAAAAGAACTTGACATGTTGACTTGTTTTCTTCATTTATGAAATTTTTAGCTTCTACCATACAAAGTTGAGATTCAGTGCTAGATTTGTCTGCACATTGCTATACTTGCTCTCTCTTGCTTTTAACAAAACCTTTGTTTTGTGTCATTATTTGTGACATAATAACAATAATTTTATTATGAATGCTGTATCAAATGTCAACATTATATAACCAGTGTATTGTGTAATGATAATAAACAACTTACAGTTTACAGGAATGATGTTTTAAAATATACTGTTTTTTTTTCTGAGGCTAAATAGTATAAAGTTTTTTATAATTCACAAGGGCATAAATAACTCTAAAGCTTAATATCTTAAATTACAGAGGATAGAAAATGGTACTTAACCATAATATTATTTTTTCTTCATCTTGCACTTATATAAAGCTATTACTCAACTGCCAGGGTTTCTTCCTTTGCCCATCTAAGCATTGGTCTGAATGCTGCTTTGCTCTCACAAAACAAACTTACTTGACTAAACGTTGTTCCAATCAATATTAATCAACACAGTCTTTAACTGAAATACAAAACAAAAAGGAGGCTACTTTGGGATAAGCAGCCTTGATTCGTTTTCTTCAGTTGGTTCATTGAGTGTGTGATGGTTTGGGTCTTTCCACAGTTGCTTTTGAGCCTGCCTCTTAGTTGAAGGCTTCAAAGTCTGAGAACAAATATTTAGTTTTCTCTCCATCCATGGACATTGTAATTCATGCAGGAAGGTTTACTTATCAGTTACGTAAAGGAAAGTTATGCCTTATCCAACAAGGTTGTCGGAACTTCGTGATTTAGCCTACCGCTTGCAGGTGAAAGCATATTCAGACTCTCAAGTAATACATCTGCTCCTGAATTTCGGGGTTCTTTGGCAGAGTTTGTTGTTTACCTGTATACCTTAATGTCCCCTGGTAGGACAGGGTATGTCTATGGATTTGTAGTTCACCTGAATATTAATGTCCCCTGATGGGACAGGGTATGTCTACAGAATTACAACTCTAAACTCCAACCTTTTGTTTTCCTTATACTACACTTTGTTGGAAGCCTCTTAGGTTCACCAACTTCATTGATGACGAGCTGGAACCATGGTTTGCATGTACATTGGTTTGATTGTTAGCTTCTACATTCATGCTTGTTGTTGTTGGTGTCTCAAATTTCATTGGCTCCTACAGGGGATCTGGGTTCTGCCCCTATTCAAGGATACAGACCCCTGACATTAGCACCTAGGTACATTGGTACCCAGAATATATTCTGTCTATATCTACGGGTTCTGCTGCTCAGTTAGATCACTGCCATCAGCATCGGAGTTTATTGTATACTTTCAGGGTGTGGGGGGGGGGGCTAGATTCTAAGTATTTCTGGGTGTGTGGTACCTTTATCCACAGATCCAGGAGCACTACAGGTCCTTCAGTCAGGTTTAGTCCTTTCAATTCACATCTTCACCAATATTATCCACCCAATTTGTAAGATTTCCATCTCCTGCAGATTCTCATGAATTGGTACTTAATTCTAGGGCTACCAGTGTTTGGCTGGTCTAGAGGTAGTGAAAATGTTGTGCTAGTTCTCCTGGGGTTTTATTCCTGTTAGTTGTTGGGCCTAAGAAGACAGAAGATTGGGGTCCTGTAATTGTTCTTTCTTGTCTATATCAGTGCCTCAATTCTCCAAGATTGAGAAGTTACTCATTCCTCAATCTGAGTTGACATTGTTTACAGGGATTGTGGCTGTCCAAGTTCATTGTAGTTGGCTCCTATCTGCAGATTGCCATAGTCAGGTACTGCAGCTCGGGGTTTTTATCATTGGCATAGCATAGGCTTCACATGGTTTCTGCCGAATCATACAGGTTTTTTTTCTCATCACCTCCATTCCATAACTTTGTGCACAACTGGTTACTGCTGGCACCATCTCGTCAGTTGTCATAACAACACACCCAGATTCTAGTTTCAGAAACCAAGGCAGGCTTCATTCTCAGAGCTGAGACATCTATTCTTGCTTCATTTCAGTATGTCATCAGTCTGGATATTTTATTTTTCATCAAGTCTCTCAGTTGGGCTTAGCTGGCTCACATCCAGGTCAGTGCTATGGAAGAGCAAACCTGATTCTTACCTCTCCTTATCCCAATGCATGGATGGTTCTTTCTCTTCTGGGAATGTGGGCTCACTCGAAATCTTCATGTTTTGGGGAAGAGAGCACAAGTGATCCTTTTAATTGTCATTTTGCAACCAAGGGATCATAAACAACAATTCACTGGATTCCCCAGTTTCCTTACTCAGGATCATTCTTCAATCTTGAAGGGTGGTTAAGTCAAGATGCTACTAAGGTATTGGTTCTTATACTGCCCCCTAGTCCAGATTCCATCTCTTCATGAATGCCTCACTTCAGGAATGGGGTGCATGTACCAACAGTCAGAAATTCCAGGGGTCTATGCATGAATAATAAGGCTTCCCTACACATTGTTTTAGTCCTTCTTGCTTTTCTAGAAGCAATGCCTTATGATATGGGGAAAATTATCAGGTTTCAGTCTGACAATTCTGTGGTGGTGTCTTGTGTTTCTCATCAAAGAGTCACTTGGTCCATTTCTCCTTGTTTTCTAATCTTGGACATCCTTTCTCAGGACCACTTCTATCATATCACCCTACTAGCTTGCCATGTTTCATGGCTGATGACTGCAGTAGCAGATTGGTTATCTCAACCCAAATAGATTCTCCAAACAGGTTCTATTGGTTTGGCTCTAATTTTGCTACTCTGATTGGTGGGTTGACCTTTCGTTGGAACACCCAACTACTGAGAATTTGGTCTCCAGTACTTCATCTTCGGACTTTGGTAATGGATGCATTCTGTCAGGACAGGACTGCTATTCTAGGCCTTCCTTCCAGTTCATATCCATTTTTTTTCTTTAGGGAATATGTATGTTCTGTATGTATATCAATTCTTCCCTAAATCTGTTCAAGATCCCTTCCCAACTGTTTAGGCCAATCTACATAAGCCAGATCATGTCTCATTCCATCAAAATTGGCTTTCCTGAAATTTGGAATTAGGGTACTATTCTTCCTCAACTCTACATGTAGTAAAATCCCAAACCTAATAGTGAAATGGTCACTAACCACAACTCTGTCTATCATAGTCACATTAGATGCTAATATTAAATTTAATATAGCTTCTTCTCTTGTAGGTTCCATCAGCAGTTGGTGTATAAAGGTATCTGAACAATTTCCCAAAACCTATCCCCCTCAATCAATACCCCTGAAATTAAAATCTCCATAATAATATCTTTTTCAGCTATCATTCTAATCTCATTATACAGTTTCTCATTAACTTCCACATTCTGACCTTGTGGTCTATAACAAATCCCAATTACAAGACTTTTCTCTTTATTTCCACTTAAAATTAACCAAAACTGACTCAACCACAGTGCTATTTTCTTTAATATGCTCTAACTCAACAGGATGTAATTCACTCCTCACATATAAAGCTGCTCCTCCCCTTTTTTCAATGCTCTATCTCCAGTAAATAATCTGTAGCCTAGTATTTCAAAAAAGTTTCCCTCATCAAAATTGTTCAAATCCAACCAAGTCTCAGTGATATCCATAATATCAAAATCCTCAATTTCCATAACTGCTTTGAACTCATCAATTTTATTTCTAATACTACTAGCATTACAATAGTAACAATTAATCAAAGATTTTTTAATTATATTCATGGTTGTACATGTTTTCCTGTCAATTATATTTCCTATTTTACTAATATTATAGTCTTCACCTCTGTCTAGCCCTAGTTTAAATCTGCCACTACAGCAAGCTAACATGCTAGCCCTTTTCTTGTTTAAGTGTAAGCCATCCATTCCAAAAACATTAATTTTCCCATTAAAATTACACAAGCCTGCAAATTTAAACTTCATAAAAGTTGTTGTGTTTTTTATAATAGATTTTCCATAATTAAGCTGTGCAGATTTCAAAAATAATATTCATTTTTTTCTAGCACATAAAGATTTTTTACAAATCAGGAAGAAAAAAACTCTTGCTTCGATCAAGTTATTATTTCATTTACCAAAATGAACATTTTTTTATTATTATATTTGTTAAGAAAAATACAAACAAACTGAAGAAAATGGAAAAACACTGATGTCAAATTAATATGCGTCTTCATCCATCATGAATTTTTTTTTTTATATGTACGTCTTTTAGTCTCAAAACTAGGTGTTGTTGTCTTTCTTTTATGTATTGTGTTATGATGTTTTGTAAAAAATCTGTACATGATGGAGAAAAATGGATATCATTTTTGAATTTAGTGTACAGGAATAACTGTACCAAAAATTTCAAGACTATATAACCATCACAGGACTGTGTTATCCAACAAATCCAACCAACCTATTTGCTCATCCCTACATATTGATTTAAGCCTGGCATTCAATCCTAGTGACATACTTAGTATCTCATCCCGAAACTTTATTTCTGGCAATATCTCTAACAAAATCAAGCTATGATCCCTTTCCTTAAATGCCCTTATCAATGTTTTATACTTATCAATAAGCTCCTCAGATCCATCTATCTTTAGCCCCAACATGTACCTCAAAAACTGCATTGCTACTAGCACTCTTAACTATCTCTCTGGTTTTATCAGTTGTATCCTGTACCTCTGCTCCTAGATAGCATAAGCATATTATTTTGCCCCTATTTACTACTACTCTGTCTACATGTCTAACTATAGAGTCACCTATGAATATAACTTCCCTATCCTCTACACTATTATCTTTTGTGATCCCATCTGTTTCCCATACCTGCTCCCCCTCATCACTAACAAGTGCTTGAAACTGGTTGCTTAACCTAAACCCAAGCCCATCCTTTCCTCTAAATGCATTATTTTCCAAGCTTTAAACCCTATTTCCTTTTTTAGCTCCCTTGAAATCCTGCTTGCGACTGTATCCTTTGCATGTAGAAGTTTAAGTTCTTCACTAAGCCTAACAAATTTAATGATTTGTTTTAAAATAGCTGGTATATGATAAGTAATTTCTACAATACTAAATGTAAGAGAGCTTTCCTATTGCTTCTACTTTCTTTTATATTTAGGAATGCAAACCAAATATACATGGGCAGGATTTGTGTGTATATGAGGGGGGCAAAAAGTCTGACTTAATTATTTTGAATGTCATGTGGATAATATATCTCACAGAAAGAAAAGTGGAGGCAAATGACTCCTTGACCTCCCACAAATTCCATTTTCGTTAGTAAAAAAAACACTTGATACTAATTTAAAGCTTGAAGGCTAAATACTATATCATATATATATATATATATATATATATATAAACACACACACACACACACACACACACACACACACACACACACACACACACACACACACACATGCACATATTATCAATGTACTATCTACAAATGTTTTCATATAATCTTCCATAGATATCAATCCCAAGTGCTCTTGATATGATGTTGACTGGAAGAAGTATTCGACCAGATAAAGCAAAGAAAATGGGCCTTGTTGACCAACTAGTCATGCCCTTAGGTAAACATGTTTTCTTTCATAAGCTGTTGAAATATTCACACAGGTTATTACAGTGAGTTATTGCCAAGGTTTTCTTATAATAATAAGTCTTGTTGAAAAACGTTGCTTGGCAGTCCTTTTGTTCATTATTAGCAATTGTGCTCTACAATTAAAGTACTAAATTGATTTACAGCATGAACAGATATTCTCATTGTTTCTCTATGAACATGGCACATATTCACCTGTTATTTGATTTGAGTTTTTGAACTTAAGACTGGTAATTGTCACAAATGTTAGATTTCTGCTGTTAATTCTACTAATGGTTGCAAGAGAATTTCCTCACCAAATGTTCCACTGAGACTCAAGGTTCATATATTAAAAAAAAGTAGCATATCATGGATAATGTTCAGAGGATGGTTATCATCTCAGTATACTTGTGTACATCATTTCCAGTGTAATTTCTAGGAGCACTTAAAAGAAGAAAACAATATTTAATGTGATATATTCCTGAAAAACAGAATAAAAATGGTATTGATAAAGCTGAAAGAGTTCAGAATGTTGTTCTCACAAAATATAATCAAACAAAAGCAATTTATAGGAATATTTCATGGGTGTCTTTTACTGTTTTCTCATTTGAAACATTTCAGTTGTATAATGATTTATCTCAGTAACTTAAGAAGCGCTTTGAGCTGTAGTAAGGATATATATATATATATATATATATATATATATATTACAAAGTATTTGTAGATAAAGGAATTTGATAAATAAAATTTTACTAGTACTTTTTTTATATATATATATATAAAGGTCCTGGACTGGACACACCTGAAGAACGAACTCTTAGTTATCTGGAAGAAGTTGCAGTGGATACAGCATCAAAATTGGCCAGAGGTGAAATGAAACCTCAGAGAAAGCGTCCTCTTATTGAAAGTAAGAGTGTATTTATTATGTTGAATTGTAGTATGAAATATGAATAATAGCAAGATTTCTCCTTTAACACTTTTTGCTATGGACATCTTTTTCTGTACCTACCACAAGCTTTTAGTGAATTACATTCAAAATTTAAATAAACTATTTTCTTATCATGGTATTCAAACAATTTTAGCATAAAATTGTAGCTGATAATCCAACTCTTAATCATATATGTTTTAAGTTCTTAATTTTATAAAACAGTGTTTTAAAAAATCCTGAATTTCCCCTAGTATGAGAATTGTGACATTTTCTCTTTAGGCATCCCCTCTTCTCTAATTTATTTACCACCCCTCCAAGAAGTATGAAATTGAACATAAATTTCTCATTATAATGTTGTCATCACTCAAGCAAAGCATAATATTTGTAGCCTTCAATTTTATTTAGTTACAGAGTGATCAAATAGAAAATCAGACCCCTCCTGCCATGCCCACCTGTCACATCCTGTCTTTCATAAATTGCCAGTATTTCTCTCTGATGTTTAATACTATATTTTTCTATACGGAGAATTCTCTATTTTGCTTCCAGTTCAAACTTTATTCCCATGGAAAACACATCGTCAAGCTCAGCTGAATGTTTAACAGCTCTTGTCACATAGTTTGAAATAAAAAAAATTGTGATAACTATGGCGCATTATCTACTTTTTGCATGTTATTATTCTGCATTCTTTGGTGCATTATTTAGTTGAATAGAAAATTATTTAGTGCAGTTGTGCCATTAGTATAAAAAAATAGGGTTAAGTGTCATTGACAGTCAACAGCAAAAAAAAAAGACTGAGTTCAGTATTTTATTTCATGTTTTTCATGTGTATTCCTTATTTATTATTATAACAGTTACTAAAATGTAAAAATTAGAAACTTTTTAGGTTAGATTGTGTAAAATATAGAATAATAATAGTAAATTTTTATGAAGTATGCTTGCGAGTAGCTCATGCATTATGTAGGATAAGGTGATCTTCACATCACCAAGTAATTTACAATTTATGTGGTGCAATTATTAGTTGGACATGGTTCAAAGGACAATAAAAGAAGAAAATTTAGTATAAACAGGTGTCTTCTGTTATGAGTTTAAAGCTGTTTAGGATAAACAAATGTAGTTTCATATTACAATTTGAAATCATTCCAGAAAAAAAAAAAGGTAATTTAGATTTTTTTATGGCTACTGGATCAGTGAGATTGATCATCTTCAGGTTACACAATGAAATTTGAGATTTTTCAGATGAAGAAAAATATTTTTAATCTTACATGAAAATCGCTTTTCACTCACAGCAGTCAACACTTTGACTCCATAAAATGAAAATAAAGTGAAAATACTTCATTAAAAATTCTGATTTTTGTTTGTCTACAAATAACTTGGTAATTATGGAAAGCTTGAAAAATTTTATACCATATTAGGAGTTATAGTATGTAAACTATAAAAGTCAGTTTGAGGTTGTGAACTCTGCTGATTCGACTGAGCCCATAGTGAGATAGTTAATAGCTGTGTTAAATTGATATATATTTTTCTGTTATTTTTTTAGGAGTAACACAAAAAGCTTTTAGCTACTCTTACATCAGGGAGCAACTGTTTAAAAAAGTTCAAGCTCAGGTTATAAAACAAACTCAAGGTCTCTATCCTGCTCCCCTGAAAATCCTGGAGGTATGTATTCAGTATGTTGTCTTTTTTAACCTAAATTGATATCATTCAGGCCTTAAAGCTAGGCTGAACATGCTTTGGTGATATTATTATTTATTGATTTAATTTTTGTAAACATTTTTAGACCTGTAAGTTGATGAGGAGTTGGGAGATACAGACAACCACAGATGACACGTTTTCAAGAGCTGCGAACCAGCTGCATTTAATGGCTCTGCCATTTATATGCAGACCAGCACTGCAGACTGTGTATGGTGCAATAGTAGGTGCACAAAACCTAAATACAATGAAAAATATGTTGCATATTGAGGGCACTTTGCATCTAAAAGGGTGGGATTTGAACTCCTGTATCCACTACTGACAGACGCATGTTCAAAGACATGATATACACTCTCGCATGCTAGACAAATTTCATCATTTTTGTGTCACATGCAGTTCTAATCACTCAATAATATTTTATTTAAGGGATCATCTGAAATTGTGTATACGTCACAGTAACATTTTTTTTTAATAAATTTAGGCCTATCACAAATGACTAGGTCTGCATGTGTTTTCAGATTTTTTTTTTTAAATACTCGTATTGTAGATGCAGGAATACGTATATTTTCTAATGCATATATTTTCCTTTTCTTTTTTGAACATGGTGGGCCTGGAGCTGCAGCTCCACCAGTCCCCATCTTAATCTGGCCCTGGTGATCTCCTCCAGATGTGAGAACATTCTGTAAATTGTAAGAAATGTGATGATGAAGTCAAACCTAGTAATGGAAGCAAGAAGAATAAAAGCCTTATGCTTTAATTCCTTAAACCTGAGCAGCTGGTTAAAAATTCCAATTTAGCCATCAAATGATGACAGCTTTTGATAACATTTATGTTTCATTGGCTGAAAACTAATCCAAACAATGTTAATATCCACCTTTTATTAATAGACCAGAATTTCCATGAAGCTTTATTGTTTGTTTTGAAACATGTTTTAGATCAACAGCAGAATGCACAAAAACTTACAAGTTTAAAGAGTTAACATCAAACTCCAGTCAGATATAAGTGTTGGATCATACTGGTCTGCATGTTATCCAAGTACAGTGACTTCAAAGACTTTCACCAAGTAGATTTATTCTTATTAAAAATGAATGTAAACATCATGCCTTTCAGCTGTTCTTGTACAACTTTGATCCAATAGGGTTTTCTCCTGCTCCCTTCAGTCTCATCAGTATTGACAATGCATGACAGAATTCCATCTTGTTTGGGACTGTTTCGAAAGAACAGACAGGCTGTTTCCAGTATGTCCACTGCAGTGAATATACACACAGCCAGTGGTACTTCTTGGTGTATTATAGCTTAAAGTCTCCTTTGTTTATTGCTTATGGATGAAGCATTATTTTGTATTGAGCTTTCTCAATGCAGCTTTTATTTATTCTCTCAACTCATACCCTCTGATTATAAATGGCCATAAAACTGTAAGGAATCTTCGCGAATGTTTGCCTCTGTAACCATAAAACGTACACAAGGTGCAAGTTGTTCAATATTGGGAGATGTGACCTCATCAGCTGTGATGGTGTAGTACAGTAAACCCTACAATGTGGGTTTGTTCAACACAAATTCGCTTATACATATAAAAGTAAAGCAACCAATTATCTGCCAAACACAGAAAATTCAATTATGTGTGGTTTTCCCAACATGCAAACATATGAGTGCTCTAGATTGTTATAACATAGAGAAGATACCTAGAGAAACTGTGTGATGTGTAACACTAGGGGAAATTCAGAATTTTTTTTCAATATTTCCTTATAGAATTAGGAACTTAAAACATATATACTATTAAAATATGGATTATTAGCTAAGGTTTTATGTTATACTAATTGGTTTAATGTAGTTTAATAAAAATTTTGAATGTAAGACAAAAACCTTGTGACATGCACAGTAAACAATACCCGTAAGGATAAAAATAAACAATCTCCAGCTTCCCAAGCCTCACTCCATCCCCACCACATTTCTAAGTGATTGGGCTAAGTTCAGTACTGTGTAGTCAATTTATTTTTGCAATTTTTTGCTGGTTTTCATAATTATCTTTAGATAGCAGTATGGAATCTAAATGTAAGGAAAGTGTTAATGACGTAAAGAAAAGCCTCAAAATTATGACATTAGCTGAGAAAATTCAGGTCATCGATAAGTTATGAAGTGGGATGAGTGTAACATCCATAGGTCGGGATAAGGGCATGAATGAGTCTTCTGTACATATGATTAGGAGGAGTAAAGAGAAAATCCATGCGAGTGCTAAGGTTTCTCAAGTGCCTAGAATGAATCTGTTCATGGGAAAAAATGGAGAAATTATTGAATGTGTGGATCAGTGAACAAAAAAGGATCTGTTGTTGATAGCATAGATATGCGTGAGAAAGCACATAGTTTCCAATGAGGGGGGAGTACTGCGGATGCCAGTGAGTTTGAGGCAAGTAAAGGCTGGTTTGCCAAATTTAAGCTACAATTTAATTTGCATAATGTGAAGCTGGGTCAGCCGATAGCTATGCAGCTGCACGGTTCAAGCCATGGTTCCTTGAATTCATTAAGATAATAGGATATACCCCTCAACATGTGTTTAATGCATATGAGACAGGGCTCTTTTATAAGAAGATGGGCAACAGGACATACATCACCAAGGAGCAGAAGGTAGCATTTAGGTTTAAGGCCTTTAAGGATAGGGTCACTTTGCTTTTTTTGTAGGAATACATCGGGTGATTTATGGATAAGGCTCCTGCTTATGACCCCTGACACACTGTATTCAGACATCCTTATGTGGAGATAATATTTTTACCTCCCAATACCACACCCGTCCTGCAACTGATAGACCAAGGAGTAATAAGACATTCAAGTCTTACTATACAAGGAATATCTACCAACATGTAATCCAAGCTAAAGACTCTGCTGTTTTCTAAAACTTAACCAAGTTTTGGAAAGCTTATAACATTAAGGACTGTATCAATATTACCAAAATATTATGGGACAAGGTGAAAGAGTGTACCATAAGTACATGTTGGCATCATCTTTGGCCTGAAGTCCTGAGCAACTTCAAGAGCTTTCCGATGATTGAGAAGGAAGTTGTCAATATTGTGAGACTCGCTAAAGAAATTGGAGGTGAGGGGTTTGTTAATATGAGGGATGAGGAGGTGGTTGAGCTGCTGGAATCCCATTACCAAGAGTCAACAAATGAAGAACTTGAAGTGCTAATAGCCTCCAGTGATAATGATGAAGATGCTGAAGAGACAGAACCTGCTAAACCCATCCTCACAGCGAAGGCTGTGTCCGATCTCTTATGCAAGGCATATGAGCTTGCAGAAATGGCTGTAGACATAGATCCCATAATGGAGAGAAGTGTTAAATTTAAAAGAGGGTTTAATGACGTTCTAGCACCCTACACATAAATAATTGATCATACTCTAAAGGTTTAGCATAATTACTGCTGATTTAGCTATTATGAATGTATGTAAGTATGTATATACCATGTGATGTGTGAAGTATGTCACTTATTAGTACAAAATGACAACCATCACTAGAGAAAAAAATATTCTTATAGCATAGAAGAAGTATTTTGTACAGCATAAGTATGTAACACTCCAATTTAACAATGTGCTGTCAAATATATTTAATATCAATTATCCAATAGATGTTTCTGAATCTTATTTAATACTGCCACATGATGTATCTAAAGTAAAAACTAAATAGTATATACTTCTACAGGGTAGGCTATAGTGTTGTCTGAAACGGCCCTAGAATTAGCACATTGAGCTTTTCTTAGCCAGAATGACTAGAAGTGTCAGAATTTAAAAGTCAGTAATGAGTTCCCCTTAAATGATAGGTGTCTAAACTAAGAGACTTGTAATATTGAAATGCTATATATATATATATATGAATATGTACTAGGTTTTAACTTTGCAAATTTAGTTGTCCTTTTTTTATTTTATATTACCATTAACTTTGAGGTAACATCTAGTGTCATAATTGTTTTATTGTATTCTAATCTGGTTATTGACATGAAACAGTACAACTGAACAAATTAATTATTTTACCACAATGACTCATCTCTGGTTGTTATTTTCTGTATAAAGCCATCCAGGTATGTGCAACCTTTAGCTGTTTTCTTGCATGCTCTTTCACTCTGTTCTGGCCACACCATCTTGTAGGTTCTACTGTCATGAGGCCTAATTTTATAGTCAAATTAGATCTGCCACCAGGTCTATTTCATTTTGTATGCAAGATTAGAAGCAATTTCTTACCAGATCTGCAGTAATTTATAATGTTAATTATAGAACGGAGTATTATTTTTACAGTACTCTAACATTAGTGAAGCTATTAGTTATTTATTTGGACAGTGTAAAACCACTGAGTCTTTTGTTTTATAAATAAATCACAACAAGACTTATATATAGATCTTCTAATTTAGATCTAACTTATGCCTAACAATTTAGCTCTAATATTACACTATCCTTTGTGTCTGAATCTAGATCTAGTACTAGTAGTGGGCATAATGTTAGGCATGGTCTATATCCAGATGTGTACATCTAAGCTTAGATTCTATCATAAATATTATATTACACTCATAAGGAGACTATACCTAATAAATTCTCATGAAATTGAAAGTTTTAATGATTAGGCCTAAATGATCTAACGTTAAAAAGTTTAATCCTTAAAATATAACACGTTAACTTGTTAGGCCTAAAAACTATAAGTCTAATGTTAGATATTTGATATTAAATAAACAATGTACATGACAACTCCACCAATATCTTAGTGATATTTTTTGATTCAACTAGTCTGGCTTTAGTTCTAGGCTTAGGCAAATTTTAGGCTTAAAGCTAACATTATGCCTAAATAATGCACATTATAAGAATCACCTCCAAGATTTAATGTTAACAATTAATGTTAGATTTAGAATAACTTAGTTCTAGACTTATAAATCTAGTCCTAATGTTTCAGGTCTAATTTTTAAAAGAGCAAATCAGTAATTTGAAAATTATTCCTAATATTTACAAAGTATTCGTAGCAATGTATATATATATATATATATATATATATATATATATATAATAATTATGTAGTAGTTAATAATAATTGTTCGTACTACTATTAAGTAATAGTAATATTACTACACATACTATTACTTTAACTAACTAAACTACT